AATCACCTAGAAAAGTTAGATGCCTGCAAGTCACCAGGGCCTGATGAAATGCATCCTAGAATGCTCAAGGAGATGATAGGGGAGATATCTGAGCCTCTAGCTACCATCTTTGGAAAACCATGGGAGACAGGAGAGATTACAGAGGACTGGAAAGGGCAAATATAGTGCCCATCTATAATAAGGGAAATAAGAACAACCCAGGAAACTACAGACCAGTTAGTTTAACTTCTGTGCCAGGGAAGATAACGGAGAAAGTAATTAAGGAAATCATCTGTAAACACTTGGAAAGTGGCAATGTACTTACCCCTCCCTAGCCCCCCTTCCTGATGTACAAAATAAAGGACATGTGTGTTCAAAAATAGAAACTCTCTTTATTGAACAAAACTCAGGGAGACTGGGAAAAGGAGGTGGGAGAGGGGAAGAGAGAGGGTGGGAGAGGGGAGGGCAACTACAATATCAGGGGTTTGGAACAGGTCCCATATGAAGAGAGGCTAAAGAGACTGGGACATACCCTCAGAGAGTAGTTATTAATGGTTCACAATCCTGCTGGAAAGTCATAACAAGAGTGGTTCTGCAGGGGTCTGTTTTGGGACCAGCTCTGTTCAATATCTTCATCAACAATTTAGATATTGGTATAGAAAGTACGCTTATTAAGTTTGCAGATGATACCAAGCTGGGAGAGGTTGCGACTAATCTGGAGGATAGGGACATAATTCAAAATGACCTGGACGAATTGGAGAAATGGTCTGAGATAAATAGGATGAAGTTTAATAAAGACAAATGCAAAGTGCTCCACTTAGGAAGGAACAATCAGTTTCACACATACAGAATGGGAAGTGACGGTCTGGGAAGAAGTACCACAGAAAGGGATCTAGGGGTTATAGTGGACCACAAGTTAAATATGAGTCAGCAGTGTGATACTGTTGCAAAGAAAGCAAACATGATTCTGGGATGCATTAACAGGTGTGTTGTGAGCAAGACACGAGAAGTCATTCTTCCGCTCTACTCTATTCTCAGGAATAATCAACATGGATTCACCAAGGGCAAGTCATGCCTGACCAATCTTATTAGCTTCTATGATGAGGTAACTGGCTCTGTGGACATGGGAAAGTCAGTGGATGTGATATATCTTGACTTTAGCAAAGCTTTTGATACGGTCTCCCACAATGTTCTTGCCACCAAGTTAAGGGAATATGGATTGGATAAATGGACTGTAAGGTGGATGGAAAGCTGGCTAGATTGTCGGGCTCAACGGGACCTGAGGATTACAGTGGATGAGAAGCTGGATATGAGTCAACAGTGTGCCCTTGTAGCCAAGAAGGTGAATGCAATATTGGGTTGCATTAGGAGGAGTATTGCCAGCAGATTTAGAGAAGTGATTATTCCCCTTTATTCAGCACTGATGAGGCTGCATCTGGTGTATTGCGTCCAGTTCTGGGCCCCCCCCCATTACAGAAAGGATGTGGACACAGAAAGGGTCCAGCGGAGGGCAACCAAAATGATTAGGGGGCTGGAACACATGACCTATGAGGACAGGATGAGGGATTTGGTCTTATTTAGACTGCAGACGATAAGAGTGAGAGGGGATTTGATAGCAGCCTTCAACTTCCTGAAGGGAGGTTTCGAAGAGGATGGAGAGAGACTGTTTTCAGTAGTGAGGGATGGCTGAAGAAGGAGCCGTGGTCTTAAGTTACAGTGGGGGAGGTTTAGGTTGGATATTAGGAAAAATTATTTCCCTAGGAATGGGTTACCTAGGGAGGAGGTGGAATCTCCATCCCTATAGGCTTTTAAGTCTTGGGTTGACAAAGCCCTGGCTGAGATGATTTAGTTGGGATTGGTCCTGCTTTGGGCAGGGGGCTGAACTCAATGACCAGCTTAGAGGTACGTCTAGACTACATGCCTGTGGCGACAGAGGCATGTAGATTAGACTACCAGGCATAGGAAAATGAAGCGGGGATTTAAATAATCGCCGCTTCATTTAAATTTACATGGCTGCTGCGCTGAGCCGATCAGCTGTTTGTCGGCTCAGCACGGTAGTCTGGATGCGTGGGGGTTGACATCAAAGGCATTTGCCGACCACCCAGGTATGCCTCATCCCAGGAGGCATACCTGGGTGGTCAACAAATGCCTTTGATGTCGACCGCGGAACGTCCAGACTACCCCTACACAAGTCTTTGCTTTCCTGCATAAAAATTATTTGCTGACAGAGAAGCAAAGGGAAGCCACGGGAGCAGTCATGCAATCCTCCCAAGCAGTATGTTTCAGGTACTCAGAGCAGCCAGCAGCGAGGTAAGTCTCTGTGTGACACATGATAGGACTGGGGAATACCAGACTGGTTGTTCTTATCCTGCGCTGGGCCCAGCAACTTGTCCCAGCTTGGCTGGGAAGGACAGGACTTCCCCTACATGGCATCTGTGGCAGGGTCAGACCCACCCCCAGATTTCTCTGCCAGCTGCAGGAACCTTTGCAAACTCCCCCAATCCACTTCCTGAACCCATGACACCTCAGCTTCAAGGAGAAGGATCTTGGTAGAATGAGCTGCTCCCCCATCTACCCAAACCGTATGCATCCAGATTCCCTCATACCCTCCTCCTGAGCCACACCCTTCACACATTTAGAACCCCACCCCCATGCACATGGACTGCTCTAATGGGCCATCTAGATCCCCACCCCACCGAGCCCCAACCAGCTGCAACTAGAGCCCCACTCCCACAGAATCTGAACTCTCTCACTGATCCCCCTTGCAGGCCTGCATGCTGAGCTCTATCCCCCAGCCACCTTTACTTGGGCCCTCCCATAGCATCCCATTACCATTTCACCCAGAGTCCTACCCTCCCCCCAACATTCCCCTGCCTCCAGATTCTCCTCACACCCGGATCTCCCAATGGGCCTCCTGCACCCAGACTAGCCCACACAGAACCCTCTCAATCCAGACCCAGATACCCACACACTTGCCATGCTGAGCCTGCCTACCCACGCCTGGTGCACCTGGCATGGATTTGCAGGGCCTTGGAGAGTTTCTGGGACAGGCCTGGGTCCTTGCACTGTGTTAGGATTGAGCGTAGCCTCAGTCCTGAGTCCATGTCTAGGGGAGGGTGGGTGGAGCTGTACCATGATCACCTCTGTGCAGCCAGTGGCCTGTGCTTCCCAGAGCCATTCTGGAGCCACAACATTTATTTGACAAATAAAATTTGCAGAATTTTAAAATAGTGCATGCAGGATTCTTAATTTTTTGAATGCTCTGAGAAAATTTGCAGAATTTTAAAATAGTGCATGCAAGATTCTTAATTTTTTGAATGCTCTGAGTACACTTTGCATAAATATTCATTTGGTCAGAGAGAGTGAATGTCTCTATATCCTGGCGATTAAGGCACTCAATTGTGGGGTAGGAAATGTTGATTCAAATCCCTCCTCTGAATCAGGGGAGAGAAGACTCTGGATGGAGATTAGCCCTGCCCCAGAACTGCTGCTGGCTCCCATGGAGCTGCCTGCCCTCCTCACCCCCTGCACTGTTGCGTCTGCACAGGGCAGGAGGGGGGCAGACATGTAGAGCTGGTACATGTAGAGCAGTGGTTCCCAATCTTTTTGATACTGGGGACCAGTAAACCCATTCACAAGCTTTTGGAGGACCAGTAACATTTATTTGCATATTTATTAAGCAAATGATGAATATGCAGATAAATTGTTTCTGGTCCTCCCAAAGCCCCCAGGGCCAAAAGGAGCGGGCCCGGTAGACTGCGCTGGGCAGTTTCCAGACCCCAATCCCAAGGTATCTACTTCATCCCCATTTGGGACCGGTAAGGTTAGAAGTTCCATTTCAGGCCTGATGGGTGACTCAGCTCGTAAAGGCCCTGGAGGTCGGGTGAGTAGCCCCGTGTCCTCTCCCCCAGTCGCGCCCGCGTTTGTGGATGAAACCGCAGGCTGCACCCTGCCCTGGGGCATGTCACTAGCCCTACCTGTCCAGCGGGTTGCTCCGCCCCCCACCCTCGCCCCTAGCCCCAATCCTGGCCGCTTTATTGGCCAGCACTGGCTCCCCTGGCTGTGTCCGGCACCAGGCGCTTTGCATTAGTGCGCCCAGCCTTCTCCCCGGGTCCTAGTGCTCACCAGATCTAGCCCCGCCGCCCAGGAGCACGCCCGGCAGAGACGCCGCGGCAGCAGGCTCTCTCCCAAGAATCATGCGGGAAAATTTTTCTGAGGACCGGTATTTTTTTTTCTAAGGACCACTACTGGGCCACACTTTGGGAAACGCTGATGTAGAGTATGTGCTTTAAGCTGGCCACCCCACACATACTACTCCTGTGGAGCTGCTTCTCCCTTCCTCCCTTAATGTCTCTGTCTCACAAATTAGGTCTAATCGACGAACAAAGTAATGCCCATAACTTCCCCCCGTATTTCAGCAATTATTGGTTTACTTAAATAAACACATTTTAACATCCCTAATGGAGACAGGCAAACATACTTGCTTTTCTGAAGTTGGCCCTGAAAAACATTTTCCCAGCTGAAACTATTGGGTCAAATTTACAAAGGCAGACACATTCTCAGTGTGGCCAATCCAAACACCTGGCCACAGTAGTTCAGACAGATTAAATGAGTAACTGAGATGAGGGAATGCTTACCACCATTAACAGAGTGTGATCTATTGTATGGAGGATTTGGGATAGCTTCACCTTCATTCATTCGCCTCAGATCTTGTTCTCTCTGCAGCTCCCTAATCATTCCATCCAGAATACTCTCATCCTGGTCATTGGTTTGCTGCCCAATCACCTGTTCAATCACTTCGCCATCACCTTAGTGAGAACAATAACACCAAATGATCAGCTTCAGTTCTATTAACAATTCACAAGCTCCCATACTCGGTAATGTATTAGACTGTCAGTCTGCTCTCCACGCCTTGCAATGCAGAGGGCCTTTTTCCTTCAATTCACATGCCTTATATCACTTTGCAAGTTAATCTTTCTCTTGTTTTTTCCTGCTGTCTAAGCAAGATACACTGCACACCAACTATTTCGGCAAGGTGGTAAACTACAACAAAGACTTCTATGACATACCTAGCTCCTTCTCTGAATATTTCCTCATTACGTTCCGTTTTAGTCATTTATCATTCCACTCATGCTACTACAGATGTTAAAAGCTATTTTTATCATTCATGTGGACTGCAGCAAAAGTCAAAGACTATCAGTTTGTATGAAAATATATACTTACAAAAAACCCAAGAGAAGTCTTCCTGTTATCTGGTCCTTATACCGCACGTTATTTGCCTACCCAAATCTCTTTTGCCATATAGGGAATTACTTATCTATGCAAAGTAGGGATGTTTGATATCAGTTAACTGAATAATCGAGTATCAGAGGGGTAGCCGTGTTAGTCTGAATCTGCAAAAGCGACGAGGAGTCCTGTGGCACCTTATAGACTAACTGAAGTGTAGGAGCATAAGCTTTCGTGGGCAAAGACCCACTTCGTCAGAATTCTTATCAGTTACTCAAATATTCTACAGTCCCCAGGGGTGGGGCCAGCATCCAATGCACTCTGGACCCACTCCCAAGGAGTCCCCTGCCACCGCACGCTGCTGTCTCTGTATCAGAGGCATCAGCATGGGGTGCCAGGTGGAAGGTGGTCTACGAGAGGAGCCATTTTAAAAACCAGCTCCCCTCATGAACCGGCTGCCTGTTGCCCCATGCTGCTGTCCCCAATACAGGAGTGGCAGCAGCCCCTGTCCGGGATGGGTCTGAGCACCCAAACCCAGTACAAGCTGAGATTGAGCCAGGCTGCCTGCCCATCTGGCTCCTCATACACTTTTAATGTAGAGCCGGGGAGTGAGGGGGATGGGTGTAGTCTATAGCAGGGGCTGACAATCTTTCAGAAGTGGCATGACAAGATTTCACTTATTCACGGGAGCAGGGGCAGGCTGGGTATGGTGACCTTATTTTCTGAAACAACTGCAGCTAGGGAGAACGGTTTAATTTAAATGATTAAAAAGATTAAACATTTTAACTCTCTCATGTTAGTTTATCAAACTTCACTTTAAATAAAGTAAAATATTATGTCCAACACAAAAGGTTTCAATGTTTTCTTTATTTATGGCAGGGGTGGGGAACCTTTTTTGTGCCAGGTGTCACTTATGCACAGAAAAATTAGTTGAGGACCACAAAAGTGAGAAGCAAAAAACTCCTCCAAAAAACCCCAACCCTCACTAATGTGGCCCCCAACTAAGACACCTCACTCCTCTGGTGCTCCAGCCTCACAGGGTGAGAGGAAGGGACAGGGAGAACTGAGGTTCAGGGTTTTCCATAGGCCAGATTTACTTTTCTGGGGTGCCGGAGTTTACTGGATTTTATGGACCTCCTTAGGCTCTAGGGTAGAGACAAAAATGAGGAGTTCAGTGTGTGAGACAGGGCTGCCAGCAAATGGGAGGGATGGGTGTGCAGGATCTGGGAGGGAGGCAGGGTGCAGAAGCAAGAGAGGTTGCAAGGTCTGGGTGGGAAATAGGATGCAGAAGCAGGCTGGGAATAGAATGTTCAGCCAGGTGGAGGGAGCAGGAGCAAGGGAGGGTGCAGCGTGTGGCCAGGAGGGATGGTGCAGGAGCAAAGGTGGATGCGGGAGCAGGGTGGGGGTTGGGTGTTTGGCCAGGAGGGGGAGTGTCTGGCCAACAGGGAGGGTGTCAGAGCAACTGGGGTTGTAGGGTCTTGGTGGACAGGAGGGGAAGGAAAGGGATGTGAGTGAGGGGGTCTGACCATGAAGTGGAACACTTACTTCACTTCGCACCCCCTTTGCAGCAATTTCTGAGGCCATGTGGTCCTTGGTTGGCCCTGGAGGTGCCCTTGCCATGCAGTGCGTGGCAGCCAGCCCCAGAATGCATGGCAGTGGCGCCTCCAGGGTCAGCCTAGGACCACGTGGCTGTGGCAGCAACACCTTTGGGGCAGTCGGAGGCCAAAGCAATGCTGCCATGGCCACATGGTGTCAGGTCGGACCCAGAGGCACAGCTGAGGAGCCTCAGCCCCAGTGCTGCCTCCTCCCACTGCAGCCTAACCTGCTGCAGGGAAGAAGGAGGGCTCTCCCGCAGCTGCACAGGAAAGAAGGGGCAGGGTTGAGCTCCCACCCTGTGTACTGCTGAAAATTGGCTTGGCCATAGGTTACCAACCCCTAGTCTATAGCATTAACCAATAAGCTTCTGCTTATCGGTTAATGGGTTAATCAACTACACTATTACATCCCTAATGCAAACTGTCCAAAATTAAAAATATTCTCCCCACCCATTGCAAGTCTCAAGCTGAAAGCCACATTTATCAACAGAAAACAAATACTGTACTAATGTTTCATTTGCATTACCTGTCCATTCTCTTATACAGATCCGTCTGTTGTAAAGTTTATATTACAAAGAACACACTTGATTGCAAAACCAAACCCTGTTTTTTCCAAGACCACTTTACTTTATAACTACTGTATTGACAATATGCAGGGCCCTATTCTGCCAGTTTTACTCATATTCTATAGCAAATTATCTTGCAGACAGCCCCGCTGCAATTAATGAGTTTACTTGTTGACTATATTGCTCACAGAATAAGGCTCAATAATGTGTAAGTGCTATAGTTTATCTACAATAATCCAACTCCTGTCTCTGGTGGTTTTAAGTAAAAAAAATAGATTATTCTCTCTAATTTTCCCCTAGTTTATTAGCATTAATAACCTTACTGAAATGCATATAAAACAAGAGTTTAAGATAACATACCATTAGCCACATATCCCAGCTGAGGAATAAGTTGTTCGTCCTTACAATTTTCCCGTCCTGGTACAAGACGTTGGTACTTTGTGGGATGTGGATTTCCATCCACATCCACTAGGAATGGGGGAGGCATGAGATGTGGAGCCTGTTGGGTCTGTTCATCCAGTACATAGTTATTAGCATCACGGATTAGTGGCCGATAATCTGTATGGAAGAACATCTGATCTGGAATCTATATAAAGGAAATTTAGTATTAGGTTAGAAGTCACTAACAGCAGTCTGCTTTAGAATGGTTTCTGCATCCTTAGAACACAACAACCAGAGGCAATTCCATGATGGAAAACACAAATGGCTTCTGTACTCAAAGCTTTAAAATTATGATACTACTGAGCAATCAAGCTTCAGCAGCACGACATGCCAAGCAAGGTGGCAAGAGAATAGAAGTAAATGTCTTCTGCCTCTTTCTAATGATTCTCCTTGGGACAGCTTAAGGAATGACCTTGCTGGATTATAAAACTGAGGTACAGTCTTTCACTGGCCATAATGAAGAACAGATAGAGAAAAAAAATTAAGCTTGTACATGAAGATGAGGTAAGCAGGTGGGGAAGAGAGCAAGAATGAACCACCCAGGTGCCAACAGGAACTCAGAAGAAAAGTTTCACATTTCTTGTAAACTAAACATACTTCTATCAGTCTAAAAACTTCCAAAGCCCAAACCACTACTGGTCCCTCCTACTCATACCCCAGAACGTCATTTTTATTATAGCAGAGCAGCAATACTATTATATTTAAGCTTCAGAACCACTGTTTGACGACTATTTTCAGTGGACAAAAATCCACAAGCTGACTCAATGTCTTGAAATCCATATGCAGACTGTACCTCATGAGTGCAAGGACAGAATAAGAGGACCAAATTCAGGATCATGTTCGCAATGAGTTCTTGAGACTTAGCCCCACCCCTTAAAAATGGTATTTACAAAATCTCCTGGTGATTCTAATTCTTTTTTCATATGCATGAGGCTCAAATTATAGCTCTGATCCTCCCCAAACCCAAGAAGCACATATCAAAATGTATTGAGGTAAAGTTTAAAACTCCAGATCCACCTGAGTGAAACGGACACGTCAAGAGAACAAAATGTAGCCAGGCCAGGGTCCTGGTGAAGTCAAAGGGCTTGTAGACAGTTGTTACAGAAGCTGGGAGATGACATGCTGTCATGTCACTGAATCTGAGCTACATTCATGTACTGCAAGGGCAAACACTTGGCAGCTGCCAAGTGTGCTCCATATATGTGCCTCGCTCTCTGCCTGCACTCTGCAAAGGCTCCTTTTGGAAGTCTGGCACTGAGACTAACATTTCTTGTTTTCAGAGCTCTAAAATTCACACACAGGCACTGATTCAGAGGAATCACTGCACAATAATTATATCGTCAATTTTCTGTTCCATTTGCAGTTGGAAGCTCTTACATCAAATGAAGGCTTTTATCAGATCTAGCAGAACATGACACGGGCTGACTGCCTGTGTTGGAGAGAAGAACTTGTATAAAATTTGAAAGAATAGCAGTGGCACATTTTGATCAGTGACATCTCTCCTTGCTACATTAGGTTAAGTATATACAAAGATTACCCCACGTTATTTTCTTTTTCAAGTCATATTCTTTTCGCATTTGCAAACATCCTCAATTCCCACTACCTTAAGAAGATTTGCTGTGGGATATTTAAACACATGCAGATTTTTATTTATATACCCACAGACAAGTACGACTTAGAGCTCATGATGAGAGAATTATCATAAACAACACTTCGCAAACAGAATCAGCCCAAGATACAGAAGCCTAAGTTTCAATCAACCCACCTTTTCATAATATTTATTGCATCCAAAACCAAATAGCAGCAAATGTCCATGTGAGTCTGTGCAGGCAAAATGCTGTCCATCTGGTGAGAATTTGCAATCAAACACAGCACCATGGCCTTGGCCTTCAATCTGTAATATACAAACACAGCATATCCAGTTTTAAATAATTTACTTTCTACTAAGGATGTTAAATATCAGTTAATTTACTAGTCGAGTAGTCGATAGAATTTCCATGACTACTCAACAGGCACTTACGCATTCTTCCTTTGAAATGTACAAGAGCCCCACTGGGGTTCCTGTACATTTCAAAGGAGGAATGCGGAACTCCGTGTGCAGTCTGGGGCCAGCAGGAAGTCCCACTGACTCCAAACTGCACGCAGGCATGTTAGCTTTGAAATGTACAAGAGTCCCCAGCAGAGGCTCTTGTGAATTTCAAAGTGGAACCACCCTCCTGGAGCCCGGGGTCAGCAGAGGACTCCCCAGCTGATCCCGGGCTCTGCACAGCATTTCAATGGAACCCGGGATAAACTGGCGACTCCCCAGCTGACCCTGGGCTCCTTGCAGCGCTGCCGCTTTGAAATGCCACTTCAGTGTTTCAAAGCAGCAGCACCACACAGCTGAGCTGGGGATCAGCTGTGTGGCGCTGCTGCTTTGAAGTACTCCCTCTTCCCTCCTCCCCCCTTTGCTGCCTCTATCTGATAGAGGCAGCGGGGAGGGGGAGGGGTGAATCGACTAGTCGACTGACTCTCCAATAAGCATCTGCTTATCGGATAGTTGACTAGTTAATAACATCCTTATTTTGTACACTAGCTTCAATATGAAGATTCAATCTGTTCTACTTCAGACTCTTCAATTATCATTATGTATTATGTAACTGCATTATGTATTATGTAACTCCAGAGAGTTACAGAGCCGGGGGCCCCGCTCCACCGATATGTGGAGCTGGGTCTCTCCCCTGGCTCTACCTGGCACGGGGCCCTCCACGCCATCCCTCCTCCGCACGTCCTCCCACCCCGACCCCAGAGTGTCCCCGCCATGCGCGGCTCCTCCTCACTGCCTGCTGCTGCCCATGTGCGGCGTTGCACGTGGGCGGGGAGGACGCCCGGGCGTGACGTGACATCACGGCCCAGGATTTTACACGGGGCGGGGCCACGCTGGCTCCGGCGGCCTCCAGTCCTGCAATGTGGAAGGCAGAAGGTAGGGAACGGGCTTGGGTGGAGGCGAGGAGGCAGCAGTGGGCTTGTGCGGTGGGAAAGGAGTGGAAGGAGAAGGGGCTTGGGCGGGGGGAGGGGAAGGCACCAAGGGACAGGGTGCAGGAGAGAAAGACAAATGCCAGGGGGCCAAGTGCAGACAATGAGGGAAAGGGCAGGAG